CTTTGGCAAATGGTGGGCCAGGCAGAGCTGCTTAGACTGGGGTAGAAGGTTTTGCTTTAAAAAAAAAGAAAAAAGTTGTATTTGCCTTTAAATCCACTGGGCTGAATTGCTGATTCGATAAGCCAATATTGGACAGACTGAGAAAATTTGGCGTGAGCTCCAAGACGGCAGAGAGAGCTGTGAACTGCGGGGGGGGGGGGGCGTGAAGAGAGAGGCTCCTCGGGATAATAAAGGGAGCCCAGGGGGATTGACGATGCTCACTGAGTTCCTCAGCCCCCGATGCCCTGGTTAACCCACTCGGCTGCCTGGGAGGTCTCATCCATCCCCACGTCTACACTGCCAAGCTTCCCAGCACCCAGTGCACACCCACAGGACCGCGGCCCACCTCAGGACATTCTAGGGGGTTTCCCGTGTGCTCAGGCACGAGCCCAAACCTTTCTTCCATCCTGATCTCGTCCCTTATGCGTCCCCATCTTCTGCTGACCCGCCTTCCATGACAGCAGCCCCCCGTCGCACTCCCACCCCCTCATGCTCCCACCACCCTCCCCCCCCCCGCCCCGGCCATCAGGGCTGCCCCTGGTGTTCCCAGGCCACTGACCCTAGAGAGTCAGGCTCAGGCTGGGGTTAGGGCAGAAATGCAAGGCTCTGTGCCCTCCCCAGAGCTGTCCTGTCCTTTGTCATCCAGGCCTGGAAGGTGCTCACCACCTTTCGCAGCAACAGCTCCCTAGGACTCCAGCCCCGAGCCCTCGCTCTGCGCGGCTGCTCCACCATTCCTGCCTCCCCTTCCTCTCCCGGGCAACGTCTGCCCCACCATTTTCATTCTGCTCCTCCAACCCTGAGATACGGAACCAGACGTGTCTGTCGACGCAAAGGAACCAATAACCCTTCTATTGATAAGAGAGACAAGGCGCATTTCGCTTGAGCCAGGCTGGGGACTATAACCCGGGAAGGCGGCCTCCACAAAGGAAGAAAGTGTTGCAGAGAAGCACGGTTTCAGCCTAGTCTTACACCTTTTCACAACAAAGAACACACAGGAATGACACCCAGGACACACATTCATCAAAGTGTCAAAGGGATATTCAGTTGCAAATCAGCAGGTCAACAGGATGCTGATGTCCCAGAAAGGGGACTTACCTGCAGGAGGACTAGTAGCTGTCACCAAAGGGCTTTGTGGATCCTGGAAGTAGGCGCTCTTATCTTAAAGAGTGTGCGTTCTTTTATGCTGAGATAATGTTTAAAGCACTCTTTACTTTAACGGCTAATGCAGACGTACCATGTACGTGTGACAGCCGATGAGTCGGGCTTCTTTAGTTCAAGTTGAATGCACTTGGAACAAGAAGAGCGATGCCATATACCCCGATATGTGAAGATCTCTTGTCACGTCCATTCCTGCAGAGAAGGCCAGGCCAACACAAGTCCCCAGGTCTGCAAACAGCAGGCTGCGCCTCCCGGTGTCACCTCAGGGACTCCCTGCCACGTCCACATCAAATTCCTCTTTATTTATGAATAGCCATGGGAAATGATGCACTGGATGTGCTCCAAAGCTTTTGGTATTGGTTAAGAATTGCACCTGGCCACGGTAAACAGAGCCAAAAGAACGGTGGCTAGAATAAGTTAGAGGTTCAATTTTTCTCTCACATAGAAAAGTCTAGAGGCAGCCGGTCCAGGATTAATACAGCAGCTCCAAACCCATCAGCGGCCCAGGCTCCTCCATCCTGCTCTCTGCCGTCACCCATGTGAGGCTCCCATCCTTGAGGTCACCTCATGATCCCAAAATCATTACTGCAGCTCCAGACATCACATTCACATTTCAGGCAGTGGGAAGGAGAAAGGGGCAAGGTTGAAAGGGCATGCCTCCCTGCTGAGTCAGCCTTCCTTGAGGTACTTTCCCAGGAATCCCACCCAATAACTTTTGCTTACATCCTATTGGCTAGGAACTGTGGTATCATAAAAAGCCCACTGATACACCCAACACTATGGGCTTTCTGTTGCCGAGGAAGACAGGGTTGTGGATATGGGGTAAGCAAAGAGCAGCCTTCGATACTCTTTGTCGGGAGCTGAAGGAGAGTAAGGGAATAGAGTCTCGAACTTTCTCACCTGGTTTCCTGTGGGGGCCACAGACGAGAAGGATACAAGTTCATAAACAGTGATTATGGGACCCGAAAAAGAGACAGAGGGTCAGGTATTCCCAGCACATCCTACACCCGAGACGGGACAGTGTTTTGTGGTGCTCACCTTAACAAGGCTACTATCTAGTCCACGGCTAAGGAGCTATTTCAAACAGCAGCTGACCGACTAATGCTCAGCTGGCCATCTACTAGGACCCCGGAGTCTTTGTCTCCTGAATTTTCACAGTTGTTCCTCCACCCTTTGTTCGCGTTGCTTGCTTTTCTCCTTGAAACAATTTTCTCTAGAACCCTGTTTCTCCTCTTTCTGGACTCGTCTTTGTATTGTGGTACCGAGCTGTTGATCAGAGCAGAGAGCCGAGCTAAGATGAAGGACACTGCGATGTCACCTGATGACGGGTGCAATGTATTTCAAAAATGGCCGCTGACACGCCTTTTTAAGCTGGCACGTCTACCTCCAATAAAGAAAGCCCAGAGCTGGCGTTTACGGCGCTTCAGGCCCCACACGTGGAGGCGAGAACCCGACCCTCGGTGCACGGAAAGCTAAAACTTACGGCAGATGAAGCAAGTAACCACGCACCCGGGACGGGGAAACGACGTAAAGGGAGAAACTGACGGACAGCAGAGTGTTGTGATTAAAAGCTTCCGGTCAGGAGCAGGGAGACCTGGGTTCCGGGGCCAGCATCCCCGGATGCTAGTGTGTGACCTTGGACAATTCACCCGTCTGAGCCTTATTTTCCTCTTCCGTAAAATGGGCCCATAACAGATAATAATAACACAGAACCTATTCGCCAAACGACATCATCTGTGGAGAGCACGTGGCCCAGTGCCTGGCTCCTGGCACAGGGGACGTGCCCAAAACATTAGCCACTGCTACTATTTGTCTAACAACCTAGTGATCACAGTGGAGTGGACTGTGTCTGTAGGGCACAGAAGGGGTTTAGCACATAATAACACTCAATAAATGGCTTCAACAGCATGATTATCCTTGCTGGTGGGGAAAGAAATATCCAGAAGGCGTTTCCTCTTTCCATAGGCAGCTAATGACGCTCCCTCTGGGTCTGGCTCCCTGGAACAAGAAGAACTTTCTCCAAGCCTCAGGCAGTGGAGAAGAAAGCCTTGAAGACCCCCGTCGTGACAGAGTCGGCCTTGTGCCTGTGACTCCCTTGGGGGAGAAATGCCACACCCCCCACCGCACCCCACTGACCGCTCAGTGCCCATCTCGGCTCTCGGGCTCAGGGGCCGCCTCTCCCCGCTCCCTGTGTGTCCGGTGTCCTCCTAGCAGCCTTGGGACAGGTTTGCAGGGACATCTGCCGGCGAGCAGGCCCTGCCAGGACCTCTTGGCCCCCGCTGGGCAGGAAAGTAACACGCAGAGGATCTGGGCATGGGGACAGGGAGACGGCAGACACCCCTTGCTCCCTGGAACACCCTTCCTCCGGTAAAGTGGCGATGGCCTGAATTTCTGACAGAAGATACTGGCTTCGGAGAGCTCCTATTGTAAAATTGGATCCGTGTCCCTACGGAAAATTCCACATTCCAGAAAGTGTGTCCCGATGAGGTGGGAAACGTGTGCTGGGGACATCAGGAGACCTGGCTTTGCGTCCTGCAGCCTCTCAGCTGTGGGTAAGTCCCTTCCCCTCCGTGTGCGACCATCTCCCCACCAGGAAACACTGCACGTGCATCGGGGACGGTTGTCACAAAGGCAGATTCCCAGACCCACCGCCGGAAATTCAGAAGTAGCTGGACATAGAGGGCTCAGGAACCCCCCGGGGACGCCGCACCCCCGGCTGCCACTCAGCTGGTGGTTTTAGGTGTCCCAGAATCTCACCCTGAGCCACCACTGTCTCCCGGGCCCCAGGGAGAGTCAAGAGAGTAGAGGGTCCTAGAGGGGAGCAGGCGGGAGGCAGGGGACCCCAGGGCCGTGGCCCGGTGTCTGCTGTCTGCACGCCACCCGCGGCAAACCCGCACAGGCCTGCTGGGTGCCACCTGCTGCCTCCCCGGACCCAGAAGGGCAGCGGCCAAATCGGACGCTGCTGGGAGATGCCCCTGGTGGAGACTGGTCTCCCGGCCTTTCCTGCTGGAAAGTCCTCAGCTTCGAGGTTTCCAGAAATCCGAAAGGAATGACAGTCTGGACGCCGTGCACCCTGTAAGCAAGGAAGCGAGGGTTCGTTCTCGGAAGACGTGGCGAAACACCATCGCGCATGCGCACGGGCGCATCATCCGGCTGGAGCCAGCCGGGTCCCCTGGTTGCGTGGTAGTGACCTCCCTGCCTCACCGCAGGGGCCCCCTGCCCTCTACTGCCTCCCCAACCCCTCTCTGCTCCACCATCAGCCTTTAGGGACAGCTGGGTGGGGTGCCAGCACTCTGCAGGTGTCACCCATCTAATGCTCACAGCAGCCCCACGAGGTAGCCAGCATCAGTGTCCTCAGCTCACAGAGGCACAGAGAGGTTGAGTAATGTGCCCCAGATGACCCAGCTAAGAATTGGTGGAGCCGGGCTTCGCACAAGGGCAGCGAGGCTCCCCGAGGCTGAGCTCTGAGACGGCTGGTCTTCCCGCTCCCTTCTGCGGCCTCCAGGCCACCGACCCACCTAGGCCTGGGCTCCGGCCCCCAGTCCCGGCTGACCCACATCCCCTGCGGGTAACAAGGCGCAGCGGGAGCCTGGTCCTCCAGCGGAGGGGGTGCCGGGAAAAAGAAAGGATTCGCTGCAAAGCCGCCACCGTGCGCTGTGCCTGCCAAGTGCCCGGGAGAGCGTCCTCACACAGCAGCGTGTGCACGCCCTCACTCACGGATACTCACACACACTCACACGCACACACCCATGTATGCACACCCTCACTCATGGATACTCACACACGCATGAATGCATGCTCTTACTCATGTATACTCACACGCACTCACATGCACACACTTTTATGCACGCTCTCACTCACGTACGGTCACATGCACAGTCATGTATGTGCACTCCCATTGACGTATACTCACACACACATACACTCATGTATGCACGCCATCACTCACATATACTCACATGCACTCACTCACATATGCACGTTCTCACTCATATACTCACACGCACACACTCATGTATGAGTACTCTCACTCAAATATACTCACACACAACACACCTGCTCACACACACTCATACGCATCCACACTCTCACATGCACAAACTCACACACATCCTCACTCAAACACACTCACACAACACATTCATGATGCACAACACTCAACACACACCCACACATCTGTGCTGACACACTTGCACACATTCATATGCTCTCAGTGCACACATCCTCACACTCGCATCCTCACTCTCACACATCCTCACACACTCATATGCTCACACACATGCTCACACTCACGTATCTACTCACACACGCACACTTGTGTACTCACACGCATGAGGGTGTGTTCCCAGCAGCACCCACTCCCGGGGGGTTTGTTCTCAAGCTGCTGACACAGCGTCGGGCGGGGGGAGCTGAGAGAGGGGCTCACCCCAATGGTGAGAGCAGGATGGCAGGCGCCCCTCTGGTCCTCGCCCCGCCGGGAAGATGGGGACACTGTCGGCCCAGGCGCAGCTGGACGGAGGCCTGCGGGCTGCGGGGCATGTGGCTCCGAGAGCTGGAAGGTGGGAAGAGCAGGCCTCCCTCCTGCCTGGATGTGGGTCCCTGTCACAAGCAGCCTGGGCCCATCCTGACTTCCCCAGCTTCTCTTTTTGTTTGTAATTTAAGCTGCCGTTTGGGGAGGGCTCACCGCGTGCGGGCGCCTCGCCAGGAGCCCCGCTGGGCCCCCTCCCAGCTCTCCGAGGCGGGTACCCCGCTTCGCTGGAGAGCCAACGGAGACTCAGGCCCCGGTGGCCTGGTCGCGATCGCTCTGCTGGGCCCTGCTCCGCCGCCCGGCTCCCAGGCTCTGCCGGCTCCAAGCTGCGCCCGGCGGCCGCCCCGCACGCCTGTTCCTGGGGACGCCAGGGGCTCACCCTCCCCCTCCTCCGCACACACGCCCCAGCCCAGCCCTGCGCAGAGAGGACGGGGGCTCCCCGTCATCCGTACTCACGGGCCACACGCCCCCCAAACGGCACGGCCCAGACTGACTCCAGCGCAGGAGAAAGAAGGGCCCCTCCCCCCACCACCCCGCGCGACCTCCAGGATCTCGGCCAAGAACAACGCAGGCCGGCAAGGACACCCTGGCTGGTGAGACCGGGAGCTGCGTTTTCAAGGAGACGGCCCGAATCGTCTCTTGCCCGTGCGGCTGCAAGTCATAAAATGAGAGGATCTTTCTGAAGGGCGGCGTGATCAGATCTTTCAAACGCCTTTCAAACGTGCACGCTGGGGTGTATCCTCCAGCCCAGGAATTCCACCTCCAGGAAATGTATCCCGAGGAACTATTCAGACAGGTGAGCAAAGATGTGGGCACACGATGTTTCTTCCAGTGCTGTTTAAAATAGCATGGAATAGGGCCGGCCGGGTGGCGCAGCCGTTAAGCGTACACGTTCCGGTTCACTGGTTCGGATCCCGGGTGCGGACATGGCACCCCTTGGCAAAAGCCATGCTGTGGCAGGCGTCCCACATATATAGTAGAGGAAGATGGGCATGAATGTTAGCTCAGGGCCAGTCTTCCCCAGCAAAAAAAGGAGGATTGGCAGCAGACGTTAGCTCAGGGCTAATCTTCCTGGGGTGGGGGGCCCCGCGAACGCACGGATTTGAAAACAGTCCAAGGAGCCCCAAACAGAGAACAGTCTAAAGAAATCATGATGCACCCATACAATGGAATATTATGCAGCTACAAAAAGATTTTAACAGTCATTGACAGACATATTCACAATCCATTTCTGAGTTTGAGAGAGGCTATCATAACCCATTTACATTTTGATGCCATTTCCTTTAAAAATCTCTATCCATAAAGAAAAATCTGGAAGGATGCATCAAAATGTTAACTAACACAGATTCTCTATGGAGAGTAATAACCACGGATTATTTTTCATTATTTCCTTTTTGTATTTTCCGATTTTTTTCTAAAATTAACTTTCAGTGAGGGTGAATTTTTTCAATTACATATACATTTCATTATATCGGTTTGACTACACATAAAATATGTGTAAGAAAACTACAAGAACTGGTGACATTGGTGCCCCTGGTAACGAAAGGTCGTTGGCTAAGGGTCAGGGCACGTGGAAGAGATTTTTCATTATGTACTCTTTTGTATCCTTGGAATTTTGAATCATATGAGTTTATATCTTTTCACAAATACAGGCTAAATTTAAATTTGAAATAAACAAAAAAGATTCCAGGAGCATCTTTGACGTTTCACAAACTCCATTTTTGTGCAGCAGTGAATGTGAGACTGTTTATATCAGAGTTGCAAACTCAAACACCTAGAGGAATCAGGGAGGTAGGAGAGACAGAGCTGGTATGGGCAATAGGGCATGGTGGGGACTGCAGCAAATTGGAAAGCAGAGGCCTTCTCTATGGAGGTAACATGATTCTGCTCTGACTGATTAGGCCACACAGGAAGATGGCCCCAGGGCTGTCAGCTCTTCCAACTTATCAATAAAAGTCAAACATCCAGACTTTCATGTGCATGTTCTCATTTTGAGACACGTACTGGCCTCCCCAAAACAAGTCTCTATAGGCCTGGCACAGGCAGCCAGTTTGCAATCTCTGCTGCATGACTGTGGAATCTTCTTGTTGAGAGACCCAGGGAACATTAAGGAGGGGCAACTTGGCCAGGGTCAAACAGCGTTGCAAAGAGCACAGACTAAGAGCCAGCCCTCCCCCCTCCCGGTCCCCCGACTTCAGCTCTATCAACAGTTAGTTAACAGTGACTCAGAGGAGGTGAATGTTTACAGGTCCTCTTAACAGAGCCGGGAGCCTGAGCTTGCTCTCTGAGGCCATTTTAAGAGTGAGATCAGAGGCCCAGCGCAGACAGGGGAGACCTCCCAACTCTCCCGAAACAGACAGCCTCTATGTAAGGCTGCACTGGTCAGGGCCAAAGTCAAGGTGTGGAACGGGCTGCCAGACCCCAGGCCCCCATCACTTCCTCCGGCCTCCCTCCCACCCTGCCCAGCCTTCAGCCCAAGTCACATCTGCCTCCCCCTGAAGGCTCCCTGACCGCACAGGGCGGAGGCTGGCTCTTTCCTCTAAGCCCTGGCCCTTTCCACCCCAACAGGCCCCCTCCTTGGGGTCACTTCCATCCTGAGCCCCAGTTCCTTCACCTGTGAGACGAGGCTAGGAACACCTCTTCCCTAGGGTGGCTGTGAGTTAAGGGGATGAAGGGTGAGGAAATCGAAGATAGACTGTCTTTTATCCCTCCAATTAGCAAAGGTTTTAAAATGATAACACTCAGTGCTTGTGGGCATAGGATGGAATGGGACATTTTCATCCCCTGCTTCTGAGACCGCATGTCAGCACAATATTGACGTGGGGTTATCTGAAAGTCTATTTCAAAGGAAGCAGGGAATCCACAGAGATTGGACTTAGAGGAGGGGTTGCCAGGGCTGTGGGGTTGAGGACAATTGGGGAGTGACTGCGAACGGGTAGAGTTTCTTTTTGGGGGTAAAAAAAAGTGCTCTAAAATCAGATTGTGGTGGTGGTTGCACAATTCCAAATATGCTAAAAATCATCGAATGGTACTCTTAAATGGGTGAGTAATAGGGTATATGAATTATATGTCAATAAAGCTATTTTTTAAATGCACAGATGTAGGTACAAACTCATTTGTTTCAGCATCATTTGTGACAGAAACGAAGTTTTAAACAACCCAAACATCCAGCTTTAGGGTAAAATGAAAGCCCGTCCTCCCAGTGGAACTCTTGTGGTTGAGGGGAGTCTGGACTCAGACCACAGGGACCGAACGCACTGCCAGCTGAGCGACCTTAGACACAATGCCGATCTTCACCGGGCTCTCCTGTCTCATCTCTTGAGTGGAGACAATGGTTTTCTCATAAGCAGGTGTAAGGGGTCAATGAGAGAACACAGGCCGAGTGCTGAGGGTGGCCCCTGCCCATTGTAAGACCTAGAGGATCTCAGAAAGTACTTGGTGACCGAATGACCACACTCACATCTGTGCCCTCTCGAGTTCATCCTGCAGCCACGTGACGCCCTTCTGACCTTGAGGAAGCCTGCGCTGGTAGGGGACTTTGCTCAAGTAACTATCAGTAAAACAGGGGTCAGAATTAAGGAAGATTTTCCCTCTCCCCTCCTGGGGGGCGGGGGGGGGCTTCTCCTGGTCCCCTCCCTCCCTTCAGACCCCCAGGATGGGACACAGCTGGGTGTCCCTGCACCACACAACTTCTTTTGGTCCACATCCACAGGACCCCACCTGTCCACAAGGCCCACCTGGCTTTGCCCTGACCTCGGCATCTCTGGGGCTCCAGCTCAGAGCCCCAGGCCTCCGGGTACCTTCTCCTCTAAGAGGCAAACCTCAGAACAGGAGGGGAAGGCCCACCACGAGGGGAGCTATGAGGAGAGAAGGCCTGGAGGCAGCCCAGGCCCGCAGGGGGCTGTCAGGACATCCACACCATGTCGACCAAGGGCCCGGACCTGGGGTGCCCACGCAGGCGCTCAGGCCACAACCACCAGCAGGGATCACACAGCGGGGAGTCTCAGCCGCCCCCCAGGAGGGCGGCACACTGATCGCAGTGACAGCCATATGAGTAGGACACCCACTCTCCCTCCTTGACAGGCACGGCCACCAAGCCCTGTCCCCCTCACCTCTCTCTAGGCCCACCCTCCTCATGCTCTCCACCCAATGAGCTTCCAGAGGGGAGGCCACGATCCAGCTCTCGGCCAATCAGCACGCTGCATTCCTGGCCACAGTGATTGGTTCAAGGTGAGCACATTACCTAAGTGCATCCAATTAGAGCACGTCTTGGGATGTCCCCGGGGAAGGCTAAAACAAAGGCTCCCTTCTTCCCCAGATTTCAATCTGGAGCCCCTGGAGCGCCCAGCACCCATCTCCAGGCCGAAAGGAGAGTCCTTTAGACTGCCACAACTCCAAGAAAACAGAATAAAAGGCCGAGGCTGAGAAGGGGAGTCCTGATCACGTGTTCGCATCTGGATCAGGCCTTGCCTGAAGCAACCCCTGGACTGTGTAGTTATGAAAGCCTAAAATTCCTGTTCTGCTGAAGCAACGTTGGGTTGGGTTTTCTATTACTTACAACCAAGAGAATCCTAAGTGATACACGGCAGGGCTGTCCAGATACACCCCCGGATGACTGACTGGGCCTCCTACTGCTCACGTCAAAAGCTACAGACAAAGGGTGCTGTCTGATCCCGTAAGAGTCTGCCCTGTCCCTCCTCTCTGAGGCCCCGCGCCCCCCTGGCTGCAAGTTTGTCTCCCCCACCCCGCCCCGCCCCTCACCCCCACACACATACACACACACACACACACAAACAGATGCCACACACGGCACTGGCTGGACTTTTATTTTAAAGTCAAAGGCACAGCCTGGATGGGCTGAGGCAGTGACCGTGGACGCCCAGCCCAGCCCCCCCAGGCCCCTCCCCCAGCCAGGGGCAGCTGTGCCAAGGGGAGGGGGTGGGTGAGAAGGGGGCCTCCCCTTTTGGGGGGTCGCCTACCTCCTTCCTTAGCCCCAATAGGGGAGAAGCAGGTGACATAAAGTGAGGCAGAAATGCTTCAGGGGGTGCCCCAGGGCCTCTCCCTGAACCCCCCAACACAGGTCTTTGGTGGACGTAATTGCACAGACAGCCCATAAAGTGACAGCTTGAGGGGTGCCCCCTCCCAAGAGCAGGGCCTCAGGGGAGGGCGGGGGAGAGGTCCCAGTTTCTCCCGTGGCAACTCAGTGCTTAGAAATTGGGGAGGAGCCCTTCCCTGCAGGAGCAGGCCCTGGGAGGAGAGCCGTCCACCAGATGCGGCAGCGACTTGGCAGAGGCCCCCCCACGCCCAACTTCCCAGCAGGCCCCCTCCCTCCCTGCATCTCTAACTCTATCTGGTAAGACATAAAAAATTCTCTGCTTATAAAAATATTTCTGCTCTGTCTGGGAGCGGGTGGGGAGGGGAGGGGAGGGCGATCCCTGGGGATGAGGCGGCCGCTGCCCGCTGCCCGAGGCTCCCAGGTCACAGCCCCCATGGGGGACGGGGGTCCTAGTGGCGGGGGCTAGGAGGGGGGAAGGGGACCGTTGGCTCGGCGGGGGGGCGCTCTGGCGGGGGGGGCCCGGCCCGGGGCGGCGGGCGCGGGGGACACGCGGCGGGAGGCGGCGGCGCTCCGCAGCTTCTGTTTCCGCCGCTTGGCGAGCGGCGCGTTCTCCACGCTCTTCAGGAAGAAGCCCTCGCGCTTGCCCCGGTTGAACGCCTGTCGGAAGGGAGGGGGTGAGTCCCCACGCCCAGCCTCGACCTCCAGATCCGAGCTTTGGTCCCCATCCCAGACCCTCCCTCCCATCCCACTAGGTCAAGGCCAACAGGTCCCCGGCCTCCAGTCTCCGGGAAGGTCAGAGGCCTCACCTCTCTGGGCTCCCGGAGACCCCGCCTCCCAGGCTCGCTCCACCCCCTCCCACAGGCCCCGCCCCTCACCATGAAGGTGGCGTTGAGCCCCGAGCGCACGGCCGGCCCCGAGGACTCCAGCACATCCGGCGTCCGGAGCGGGGGCGAGGAGCGCGCGCTGCCGTCCTGCAGCCACGAGCTGTCCCGCAGCCCCTCGAGCTTCAGCCGCTTGGCGGGGTCCACAGTCAGGAGCCCTGGAGGCGGGGCGAGGGAGTGTTGGGGAGGGGCCGTGCGTGGAGGCTGCACGGCAGAGAGATCCTAACAGCCCCGCTCACCTCCCCAGCGAGTCCCCCAACCAGGACACCTGGTCCAGTGACGATCGCTGCCCCACCATGACCCCATGGCCTCCCCCTACCCAACCATCATCTGTGACCTCCGGCTCCGCACCTCGGACCAGCTCCTTGGCCTCCTCGGACACGCCCTGCCAGGCCTCCCCGTCAAGGGAGAAGCGCCCCTCGCGGATCTTGCACATGATCTCGGCCGCCTGGCTCTGCCCGCCCTGGCCTGAGGCCCCCTGGAAGGGGACCTGCCCCGACAGCATCATGTACTGGGGGGTGGGGAGAAAAGTGAGACCGGCCCGGGCGGCGGGGCCAAGGGAGGCCAGGAGCCTGACCTCTCAGCCCACCCACAGGACCATTCACCCTCTCCGCGAGGGTAACTCCTCAGGCCCATGCGTGATGAACCCTGACCTCCGACCCCTAATACTCGGATGCCCAGCCCCCAGTACCAGAGCGACGCTGCCTCTGTATTAGGACGACCTCGGACCCCAGCCTCAGACCAAACCCTGCCACCCCCAACAAGATGAGCCCTGTCCCCTGCCTCGGGAGTCCCTGTTGCCCCGCATCAGGAAGACCTCTGACCCCAGGCTCGGGCGACCTTGCACCGTCCTCCAGGGCCCCGTCCCATACCAGAATGACGCCGAGGCTCCAGAGGTCGCAGGACTCGTCGTAGCCCTGCCGGGCCAGCAGCTCGGGGGCCGCGTACTGCAGCGTGAAACAAGGCGTCTGCATGGGCCCCGCGGGGCTCTGCGGGCGCAGGCGCGCGAACCCGAAGTCGATGATCTTCACCGGGGCTCCGGGCGTGTCGTCGGCGTACAGGATGTTCTGTGAGGACAGCGGGGTGGCCGTGAGAGCCGGGCCCTGCGCGCCGCAGCCCTCCCCGGCCGCCGAGGCCCTGCGCCCACCTCGGGCTTGAGGTCGCGGTGCACCACGCCCGCCTCCTCGTGCATGAAGCTCACGGCCGACACGAGGCTGCGCAGGATCTGGCTCGCCTCGGACTCGCTGAAGTGCCGCTTCTTGCGGATGTGCTCCAGCAGCTCCCCGCCCCGCAGCAGCTCCAGGACCAGGTACGTGTGCAGCTGCGGGCGGCGCGCGGGCCACGGTCACCAGCCACCGACCCCGGCCGGGCCCCGCCCACCAGTGAGGCCCCGCCCCGCGGCCACGACCAAGCCCCACCCCCAGCTCAGGCCCCGCCCGTGTCCGAGCCCCGACCCCAAGAACTGCTTTTAGGCCCCGCGTCAGGTTCTACCCCTACCGCCTTCCAGGCCACCCGCCCCGCTGGCCACCTTAAAACCCCACCCCCCTAAATTCTATCCCCGCCACTGCACGCCCTCCTCAAATTCCGTCCCCTTGGCCATCCTCAGCTCCGCCTTGCCGCCCTCGGGCCCTCCTCCCCTCAAATCCCACCTCCCTGGCCTCTCAGGATCCCCTCGAGCCCCCACACCCGATCCTCAGGCCCCTCCCACGCGCCTTCGGGCCCCGCCTCCTATCCACCCCCGTCACGCCCTCCGCGGGCAGCCTCCTGCGTCCCCGCGCTCCGCCCCGGCCCGGAAGGCGTCACCTGGTCGTGATGCACCTCGTGCAGCTTCACCACGTTGGGGTGCGATTGGCACAGCCGCAAGGCGGCCACTTCGCGCTGCGTGTTCGCCTCTAGCCTGGGGGGCGGGACAGGCGGGGTCAGGACGGCTCCCCTCCGGCCCCGCCCCCCGACTCTGCTCCGCCGGCCCCGCCCACCCCGGGCCCGCCCACCTGCGGCTGAGGATCTTGACCGCAAACTCCTGGCCGCTCTGGCGCTGGCGGCAGCGGCGACACACGGAGAAGCTGCCCTGGCCCAGCGCGGGCTCCCGCAGGTCCAGCTCGTACTGCTGGAAGAAGGGCGAGTCCTGGGGGCAAAGGGGGAGCGTCAGAGGTCCTACCTGAGAGCCTTGCGGCCGCGCCACGCCCCACCTCATAGATGCTCCAGACCTCACCAAAGTCACACCGCAGGCGCACGGAGGAGCCAGGTCTGGAGTCCCTGGGCCCAGACCCCCGCCCCCCCCAGCCAACTTCTCCCCACGCTGGCCAAACTCACCTGCATCATGGCGCTCCTGGCCACCGCTGCCCGGCCTGGCCGGTCTCCAGCGCCAGATGCTTCGAGCACGTCGGTCATCACTGCGTTGTTGTGGTCAAACAGGATGGACGGCGCCACGAAGGAGTATCCCTACGGAGAGGGGGCGGTAAGGGGCGCATGCGCATCGGGGGCTGCAGGTACGGGTTGGAGTCCCTGGAAGGCCCAGACCTGGCCGCGAGGACGGGGGGCACGGAATCCGGGGACTGGGAATAAGGGGCACTGGGGGTGTCGCTTTGGCATCCTGGTGCACACGGCATATGTGGACATTTTATTCCACCTTGCTCTGTGATCACTTGGGGCCGTGTCTGTCCCCCCGCCAGTCTGTGACGCCACCTTTCTCATCACAGTGACTCCCCCCCAAATGCCAAGGACATCATCTGACACAATGGAGTAGCCCAGAAAATGATGCGCCAAATGCACGAAAGGACGGTGGCCTGGCATCACACACCTAGCTTATGAGAATTCACCTCTCCCCACTGAGGACAAAACATCTTTATTCCTTCCTGTCAAATCAAACTTTGGCCTCCTCTGCCGGGGGGCTACTGAGGAAAGGTAAGGAGAAACCAAAGTTAATCATCGCTGGTGCCCAGACCAGTGCCTGGCACTCACACATGTTTTTGAATCATTAAATGAATGAATGAAAGTAACCAAGTCACAAGAAAGAACTTTCTCGTTAGGACTGTGAGACTGTGGGTGGAGGGGCGATCAAGGAGAGGGCACCCAGGGCCAGGGGAGCAGGGAGGATGTCACACAGGGGCAGCGCTGGACAACAAACGGCTTGAAAGATGAGCGGGAGCTTGCCAGGTGGGCAGCTGTAGGGAGCGCCCTCCAGGTGGAGGGAACTGCGTGTGCAAAGGTACAGAGGTGTGTTCTGGAAGCTCTGAGCAGTTCAGTGCTGCTGGAACACCAAGGGGGGCAATAGTGAGCGCTGAGGCTAGGGCGCTGAGCCAGGACCACATCCTGCAGGGCCTTGAAGGCCGAGCAAAGGAGTTTGGACTTGTCCAACAGGCCTAAGCTTCCAAAACTGGGGGGGGGGGGGGGGGTCCTGTGCCTCCAGGAATGTGATGTGGTGTGCCAAGGGCATGCACAGCCATGATAGAGACAGGGCATCTCTTCCTAGTTGTCCACTTAAGCAAGTGAATAATTTAAAACAATATGGTAATATAACAATAAAGAGATATGACGGACTAGAAGGAAAATTAAGATGAAATTTAAAGATGTGTCCTGCCATGGTGGTCTCCAGAACCAGTAGCTCTGGGTACCCCACGAATGGAATGGTCTGGGGGAGATGCTGAGTCCTGATGAGGACACAGGGCCAATGCAGTGCCCGTGCTCAGCCAGGCCGAGGCTGGCAGCATCCTGCCTGCCTGCATCTGGGGTCCCATGAGCTCTCACTCACCTGGAAGATGCGAGGGTCCCCAGGCGGGGGGCTGCCAGGGGGTGAGTAGACAGGCTCCAGCCTAGTAAATTCCTCTGCGAAGTTGCCCACATCCAGCTCTGAGCGGATCTGGGGTCGGAATGGGGCTGGGATCTTCCTGGCGGCCAAAGCAGCCCAGTCCAGGCCCTGGAAAAAGGGATGAGAAATGGGGGACCAAAGGGCAGCAAGTGGGGACCCCTCTCTGCTCAGGCCACCTTCACTGGGCAGCTCCTCAGGGAGGCAAGGGTCTCTCTGGCATTTGGGGTGGCAAGGTGTTCTTCCTGCCTCCCCAGCTTCTATTTCCCCGCCTCTGATAACACAATCCTTATTTTCCTCCTCCACACTCAGTCAATCCTGAGACTTTTAATAGAATCGGCACGCAAAACAAACAAATCTACTTATCCTAGGTGACTTAAATCTGGGAGGACACTGGCCTGGAACTGCTCAGGGTCTAATGATGAAATCCCTGTGCAGAAAAGCAGAACTAAGAGACAAGGAAATTCCTACATGACATTGATTCTGCACCTGGATGCAGCCTTGCCTGAAGTCAGACCACATTTCCTTGGACTTTTCACTTACAGGAGCTAAAACATGCCTTTTTATGTTTAAGCTAGTGTGGGAGAGCCTGTTCACTGCCTGCCCAACATGCATTCTCCTTTAGTACCATTCTCCCTTAGTCTTCCTTAGTAGCATAACCCCAACTGTATGCCAGGAAGCAATGTACACAACTAAAAGACTATTTTACAAACTTCCTTGCAGTTATGGGTGACCAATAACTTGTAAGCAAAAACTGTGAGATAGGAATCCGGGAAAAGAGCCTCAAGAGGAGGGTGAACAGTTGGCAAGTGCTCTTTTTCCCCTTCCCCTCCTTCTTCCTGCTTCCTGCCTGGACAGCAGCCTCAATGGCAAGAGCTCCAGCAGTCATCTTGGACCATGAGGCAACCATGGGGATGGAGGCTCCATGCTAAGAATGGAGGAGCATTAAAAAAGAAAAAAGGAGCTTGGATTCATTGAAGACATCACAGCAGCCCTGGCCTGCCAACCTCTGGACTTCTTTTATGTGAGAAAGAAATAAAGAAACCTCCATCTTGTTTAGACCACTGTTCATTCTGATCTCTGTTAGCAGCCAAACTCTATTCCGTGGGTATCGCCATTTTGAGTTGGCCTTTTTGTCGCTTGCAGCCAAGAAGCCTGACCTAGACTTGAAGGCCTGGGTTCTGACACCAGGGACTTCAGCATTGCTGTCATCAAAGAGACTGTCTCTTTGAGGGGGGTACCTTCCGAGTGTCAGGCCTCAAAGACCTTGGGCGGGGCTGGGGGGGGGGAGGGCCTCTCCAGTAAGACTACTGGTCAACCTGCTCCCCATGCCCAGGGCCCAGCATGCCCTCAGGGTGGAATTCACTTAAGGAAAGTGACACTGCTCACCTCCCCCCACAAAGGGACATGTTTGCTGCAGAGACATAGATCCTGCCTGAGAAGGCATCTCTGAGGGCCCTTCCAGGGGGGTATTTGCTGGGAAGGTTCCAGGAGAGGGCACTCGTAGCAGAGGAAACGAGTGCCTGGCCCACAATAAATGACCCTAAATGGGCGTTTTTGTCACGATGTCAGACAGGCGGCAAATCCGATGCCCACGTGTAAACAGCACGCAGTGGTTAAGAGCGTGGGCCTTGAAGTCGCCCAGACGTGGCTTTGAATCTGAGCTCCATCACTTCCTGGCTGGGCAACCTTGGGCAAATTACTTAACCTCTCTGAACCTCAGTTTCCTCCTCTGTAAAGATGAAGATAATAATCAGGATGGTTCTGAGGGTGACATGAAAGAACTCGAATCACAGGGCTGACACATAGTAGGTGTTCACTCTTACAGGGTCCTGCTAGGCAGCAATACTGGCCACGTCTGGTGCCCGAGCCAGCAAGTTCTCACAAGGACACGGAACTCTCTGGACACGGCATTCCTACTGTGTGTGCTCTTAAGTGAACAGAACCCACGTGGCTGATCGACTGTCCATCTGAATGACAGGCACACAGACTCAACGGGGACAAAGAATAAAACACCTGGGTGAACCCTAAGAGCCAGAAGTGTGGCTTTTAGTGCTGATTTGGGCCGACAGGAGACCTGGGGTCTGTTCCCAGCTCTACCCCACTTACTGTGCCATCCTGAGTGGGTCACCTCCCTTCTCTGAACCTGTCCAATGAAAGCACTGGCAAACCCATTCTCAGGTCCCTGCCAGCCCTGACAGTCAATGAGCCTGGAATTCTCTCCCCGACAAGCACAGCTTCTGGGTTTCAAGAGAGATGGATGAGAAGACGAGCTTCCTTCACCTGGGGGGGTTTCTAAGTCAAGTGGAATTGGCCAGTCTCGGAGCCACCCCACCCCGGTGCCCCTCAGCAGAGCAGCAGTCCAGCCCAGGTGTGTGTGGAGGGATGTGGGGGCGAGTCAGGAGCCTCACCTGGAAGAACGGGTGGTTCTTGACTTCCTGTGCCCCCTGGGGCCCCGCGCCCAGACGCTTCTTGGGGTCCTTGCAAAGTAGCCGCTGCAGCAGGTCCTGCGCCACGGGCCCGATCCGGGGGGGGAAGGGAGGGGAGCACTTCAGGATCCGTCTGGGGGGATTGGGGGGGCGTCAGGGGCAGTGAGCCCCCCCCCAGCCCTGCCCAGGTCCCCCGGCCACCCTCCGCGTCCAGCCCCGCTCACCGGGACACCTCAGCCTGCGTGTTCCTCTCGCCCTCCAGCGTGAATGGCGAGGCCCCCGTCAGCAGCTCGAAGAGCAAGATGCCAAGGCTCCACCAGTCTACGGCCTGCCGGGCAGAGCCGGGGTGAGGGCCTGCGGCCGCCCCACCCCACCCCACCCCACCCCCCCTCCCCTGCCCCCTGCCCACTCACCTTGCCGTGCCCCGACTTGCTGCGGATGATTTCGGGGGCCATGTACTCGATGGTGCCACAGAAGGAGAAGGTTCGCTCTTTCTGGGAGGACGAGAGGACCCGTTTGGACACCCAGCAGCCCCCAAGGCTCCGAGTAGGACTCGTTGGACTTGTGAGGGCTGGAGCAGGGGGACTTCCTGAAGGCCGGGCCTGGATCGATCGACCTCCGAGACACGCAGGGCCAGGCACGGAGCCAGAGGAGACAGGACGGAGAAGCCTGGGACGGGGCGTCGTTGGCCAAGAGACCGCCCCTCACTCACCTCCTCCGTCAGGAACTCCTTGCTCAGCCCGAAGTCCGTGAGGACGATGTGGCCGTCGGAGTCCAGCAGCACGTTCTCCAGCTTCAGATCTCGGTAGATGATGCCCAGCTGGCAGGAGCAAGAGGGCCGCTGAGGCTTCCTCCCCCGCCACCCTCAGCTCCTCCAGCTCGTGTCCCTGCACCGGGTCCCTCTCGGGAGAAGGGGACCCCCCGCCCCGGGAGAAGGGGATCTCCAGCCCAGGAGTGGGCCCTGGGCAGAACTGGGCCACTCGCTAGGAAAGCCCATTTAAGATGTTAAATCGAGGAAGGAGAACCCCACAGGGAGGCCCCCTGGGAACAGGCCCCAAGGTCCCAGAGAGGCAAGCCTGTGTGCACAGCCCCATTTCAAGGCCTGGGGAGCCGAGGCATGAGGTTTCCATTTGAGGAAGTGCTGTGGACGTGGCCCCAGGAGGCAGCCCAGAGTTCCCTGTTCGAGGAAAGCCCCTACGGGGAGCCACAGGGCAGGGGACCCCACCTTCCTTCCAGGAGGTCTAGGAAGCAACTCCTGTCCTCACTGAGGCCAGCCCCCCACCCCCGGAGGCCCAGGGACAGAGAGACCTGAGGCTGCCATGTCTGAGGGCCGAGACCCAGACCCTCTGGTCGCAGCCAGGCGGCCAGGTCCCCACCCACCTTGTGCAGGTGTTCCAGGGCCAGCACGATCTCACCCCCGTACACGCGCACCTCGGCCTCCTTGAAGTGCTGGCGCTGGTAGAGGTGCGTGAACATCTCGCCGCCATTCACGTAGTCTGGGGGGGGGGGCGTGGAGGTTAAGAAGCAGCCTCCATGGGGCGCCCCCCGCCTCCATGACCCCCAAGGTTAGCATGGGCCGCCCTTACCCAGAATGAGGTGCAGCTTGGCATCAGTCTGGAAGGCGTAGTGCAGCGTGACCAGGAAGGGCGCCTGGCGCACCAGCTCCAGCACCGAGCGCTCGGTGCGCGTGTGCTCCTGCGTCTTGGCGCGCTGCACCAGCGCCGCCTTGCGCAGCACCTTCATGGCATACAGCTTCCCCGCGTCGTGCCCGCCCGCCTTCCGCACCAGGAACACCTTCCCGTAGGCTGTGGGAGCAGTGAGTGAGCGCAGGGCAGGCCGTGAGCAGGAGGGTGGTGCAGACTGGTGGGGGTGGGAGTGCTGGCAACCCAGGAGGGTGTGCAAATCGGGGGAAGGAGCCGGGGTGAGAGGCAGAGGTGCCAAAAGCTGGCAGAGCCCTCTAAGAAGAGGGGGTGCACGCCCCTGGAGGGTGCTCGAGCAAACCAGGGAGGGGATGTGCAAAGTAGACTGGGGGGGCATGCAACTCCAGGAGCCCTGCAGCCCTGGGGCTGGGGGGGTGGTTTGCGTGTGCAAACCTCTGGCAGATCAGAAAGATGCGAGAAGATGCAGATCCCAGGAAGGGAGGCAGAGGTACATGCGGGCAGCGGAGGGATGTGCAAACCCGAGCTGGAGAGTTTGCAAAGTGGGGGAGAGGGCTCTCATATCGGCGCAAGGGGAGGAGCTGTGCAGGTCACTCGGGAGGGCTGCAAACCCCCCACTGCCCCCCCCACCCCCCCGCACCAGGGTGTTGGCAAATCCGTGTTGGCAAGTCCGGGAGGATGGTGCGGGGAGGAGCGATGTCAATGTGGACCGGCCCCGGGAGTGGGCATGCACACCCTGTCAGGGCAGGGTGGGGCAGGCCAGGCGGACTGTGCCGGGAAAGGGTTGGGGGCATTGCTGGTGGCCTGGCCCAGGCCCAGGCGGGGGTGCAGGCGGGAGGCCCAGGGCACCGTTCCTGGGACACCTGCCCAGTGGGGGTCCTCACCTCCCGTGCCCAGCACCTTGAGCAGCTCGAAGTTGTCCACGCTCACCTTCTCCTCGTGCCCGGTCAGGTTGGCTGTGAGCACAGGGGGTGAATGAGCCCAGCCAGTGCACGGACCCCTCCTGGCCTGGCCCGGGTAGCCATCCCTCCGCCCCGCACCTCCGGCCGCCCCTGCCCCACCTTCCGTGATCCGCAGCTCCACCGCGCAGCCCTCGTCCTCGTCCTCGTCCCCCATGGCGGGCAGGTCGCTGGGGCCAGCGAGACTCGGCTCCGGGCGGCGCCGGTTACATGGCGGCTCCGGCCGGGGCGGGCGCTTCCTGGTGCCGCCTCCGGGGCCGAGGCGGGCGCCGGCGCCACCTCCCGGCTCCCCGCCCCGCGGCCTGAGTCAGGCGGCTGGAACGTGACAGCGCCGGGCTGCGGGTGGATGGGTGGGCGGGCGGAGGAGACCCTGGCTCCCGCAGGCGCACGGGGCGAGTGTCAGGACTGCGCACTCCGGGACCCCACGCGACCCTCCTGGGGACCTGCGGACACCGGTTGGGAGCCTCTGCTGGGCGTACACCCCCCAGCCAGGTGTCTGCCCCAGGGTGCCTGCTGAAGCCAGTGGTGAGACACTCCAGCCTGTGCCCCAAGGCGGGAGGGGCCCACCCAGGCGCTTTGGAGCCCTCCCCACCCCCACCCCTTGCCCCGGGGGCCAGCCTTAAGGGCCGCCAACCATCTCTGTCCAGTTCTCAGCCACCAGCTAGAGAGAGGGATTTCATAAAAATCACTGTCCTGTCGCCTCGTTCTTGATCAGTCCTTGACCGCCGCAAATAGGGGAGGGGATCTGAGGGTCTCACGGCCGCCCTGGTCCAGCACCTCCCACTCGGCGTGGACTTGCCTTTGCAGGGGAGGGCCTGGGGCTCCCGCGCGCAGCACCAAGCTCTGTCCCCGGGCTCCCCTACCAGGGAGCGCCTGCAGGGGGCGCTGCGAGGGGGGCTGCGGCACAGCCCGCCCTAGAGCAGGGAGGGACAGTCGATTTTTAGCCGACCTGTAAAAGCACCGCAGGTCCCAGCCAACCGGCACAGCCCGCCCAGAGCCACACACCCCACCTGGTTCTGTGCCCTGCTGTCCCCAAGCCTAGCATGGTGCTAGCACAGAGCCTGGAGTAGGCCTCAAAAAGGGGTGCCAGAGCCACACAGGGGTCAGGCCGGGAGACCCTGGCTGGCCTCCAGAGCCTCATCCCCCTCCCTGACAGGAGCCACCAAGCAGGGTGGGGCGGCCATCAGAGCCCCCAGGCTGAAGGCCCGGGAGGGAGCTTTCAGCTGCTGGCCAAGCCGGGGCCTGGGGGTTCCATTCCCACCCTTCCGGCCTCTGGAGCTCTGGCTGAGAGGCAGGCAGGGCCGTGGGTTGTCCCCAGGAGGCTGTGGAAACCCGGTGAGCGGCTGCTGCAGGTCACCCTGGAGAGGCTGGCCTGGCACCCCTCCCAGCTCAGCCCACCCTCAGGCTCAGGCTGCCTCACCTCAGACGGGCAGCCCGCCCAACCGGGGGCCGCCCAGCTGCCCTGACTCACGTCCTGCCACCCAGCCTAATTGCCCTGTTCCCGGGCGGCGTCCCAGAGGCCCCGGGCAGAGACCCTGTGTCCCTCCTGCCTCTCTTGTCCCTCCATGACAGCCCCTGGCTCCAGGCGACACCCTACCTGGCTGGGAACTCCCTGGGGAGGGGCTCACCCCCAAAGGAGTGGGGGGAGAGGATGAGGAGAGAAGAGGGAGGGAAGGAAGGGGGCAGGGCCTCTGGGGCCTCAGTGCCCCACATCCTGGAGCCCAGACCCCCCTTGAAAGCAAAGGCTGAGCCCAGACTCAGGCCCCACCCACTGCTGGCTACCAGAACCCCCACCCCACGGTCCCCTCCCCTGAAGAAAGCCCTTTGCTGCCCCGTGCAGGGCAAGGAGACCTACGGCCACAGACACCTCCCTCCCCAGCCCCAGCAGAGCAGGCTCCAGGCCACACGTGTCCTGGGCCTCGCGGCTTCTGATGCAGCCAGCAGATGCAGAGTGCAGATTCCGGCGGTTGCATCCCAGTTTTATTCTCAGGTCCCTCAGTCCCAGCTCAGGCTCAGAGAGGGTCCCAGGCCACAGTCCTCAGGTCATGGTCCTTGACTCCCCACCTGGAACGGGCAGGGGGCTCTCTTGCCCACTCCGGCCTGCCTCCTTCAGCTGGGGGGTCCCCCAGAGACTGCCTCCTCAGCGTGGGCCGCGTGGCAGAGCCAGAGCCCCAGCAAGGAGCAGCTCGCGGGGGCCGGCCATGTCCCCTGTCCTCGAGCTCATCCCGGCTCCATCTCCGGGCCCCAGTGCACGCCGCACAGGATCCGGGGGCCCAGGCCTCCTTGTCCCAGGACTTGCCCCGGGTGCCCTGGCTCCCCAAGTTCTTGGGCTGCCTGGGGTCCCCGCTGAGACTGCAGCGGTGAGAAGACTGCCCTGCCGGGCGCCCCATCCACATGGCGTCACTGGCTGAGGGAAGGGGTGAGAGGACGTTTCTCCGGTTCCTGCACCTCGAGGCCTGGAGACAAAGGCTCAGCTCAGGCAGGCTCCCCCGGGGGCCTCCCAGCATCCCAGGCGCCCCGAAGGCCACACCCTTCTGCCCACCCTCCGCCCCTCTAACCGCCTCTCAGCTCTCCCCTTCCTCCCCCAGCAGCACCAGCCAGTCCTCGAACATGCCAGGCCTTTGCTTCTGCTGTTCCCTCCACCTGGAACGCCATTCCCCAGAGACGTCGACACGACAAACTCTCAGCTCCAAGTCTTTGTTCCAACTCACCTCCTCTCTGCAGAGACCCTGAGCACCCTGATTAAAACCGCAACCCCCTCCCCAGCACTCTCGACCTCCCTCGTTCTCGTCTCCTTTTTGCCCCAGAACATTATTGCCTCCTGAGCTTCTAGGGTGGCGCTCCCCAAATTGGGACCAAGCACGCGAGATGGGGCTGGTCTGAACCGCACGTGCTCGGGCGTAAGATGCCCCTGGACTTCAAAGACTTAGTATGAAAAAAATATATAAAATATCTCATTCGTGATTTTTCACATCAACTACACGTTGAAATGGCAACAGCTCGGGCATATTAAATGAAATAAAATATACTATTAAAATTAATTTCCTCTCTTTTTACTTTTTGTGATGAAGCTACTAGAAAATTTTAAATCACACATGTAGCTCCCCCACCATACTTCTATTGGACAGGGCTACGATCGATAATCATTATTTTTATGCATATTGTTTACTGTCTGCCTCCCATACCAGAATGTGCCCTCCTGTATCCCCAGCTCGCACCCTGCCCGGCACTTGGTAAAGGCCCGTGGTCAAATGAGTGAATGAAGAATGAGGTCTGCCAGGGGCCCCACTGCCTCCCAGGCCCCCACTCACCCTCTCGGTTGGCATCTGCTTCGTGTTCCGCCAGGGTCTCGATGGAGCCATCCCATCCCACGCCGGGTCCTGGGGAGGCACAAGGCAGCCACTGGGCCACGGGGACCAGGGCAGAGGTGGGCAGGGTTCGTGGGGAGACACAGAGGACAGGAGGGAAGCACCCCTCCCCGAAGGAGTTAGGGGGTACTGGGGGCAGGGCTCTTGTCCCTCACCTTTGCCATGGGAGCTGGGGGCCCCCAGAGGGCCTGGTCGGCGCTGTCGGAACCTCTGCCGGGGGGTATCCCCGGGGCTGAATGACTCAGAGCTTCGTGCCACAGGGAATCGTGAGCTGAGCTTTCGCCGCTGCCCACCTGCCAGGGTCTCGTCCCGCAGGCAGAGGGAGCTCTGGGCCCGGCGCATGGGTGCCAGTGATGGGGACCCTACAGGAAGTACAGGCAGGGAGGGTGTAGCGCAGCACAGGGAGGGGCCAGCAGAGCAGGGGAGGCTGCACAGGGGCAAGGAGAGGAGGCTGCAGAGGCAGGGGGAGGGTCTGGGTGAAGAAAGGTGACGACAGGAGGCTGGACCCTGTGCTGGCTCTGACACTCACTCACTGTATGACCGTGGGCAAGGCGCCTCCCCTCCCTGGGCCTCGGTTTCGTCATCTGCTAACTAGGATAAGTGACCTCTCACTAAAGACCCCTGCTTCTCTGAGGTCCTCAGCACTGCTGTGGATGGCTGGGTGGCCGTGCAGGCAGAAGGGAGGTGCCAGCCGAGGGGAACATGGCAGGAACTCAGGGCAAAGAGCTACTGGAAGCATCTAGGGGGAGGGGGGAGTACAGCAGGAAGGGGGGCACTATGCAAGCTACACAGAAAAGGAGAGACAGGTGTTGGGAGATGCCAAGTGGGAGTAGGGGACATGGGGTAGGAGCCATCCTGGTCACCGGGCCCCCCAAACCCACCTGTCCCATTCGCCTCCCTGCCCTCGGAGAGCTCCAGCTCTGGGGGGCCCCCCAGGCTCTCGGTGCTGCCAGACCCATCGGCCCCCAGGCGCAGCCCCCCATGGGGGCCCCCCTCCCGCCGGGGCCGCATCAGCCTCTTCACCTTGTCTGCCAGCCAGCTGCCCTTCCTGGGGGCAAGAGGGCACAAGAAGGGGTAAGGCCAGGGAGGAAGGAGGAACGAGAGGGCCACGTCAGGGATGGCAAAGGCCAGGCCAACCCGAGCTGGGGCCTGGACCTGAGCTGGGCCAGGGGTCTGAGGGCAGGGCAAGGCTAGGTTGGGAGGGTCCCGGGCCCTGGGCGGGTGGAGGGGCCGCTCACTTGGTCCGGGGCAGGGGCACCGGCTCCAGCACGCGGTACTGGTCCATGATCTTCTCCACCAGCTTCTGCTTCTCGCGGCGCAGGGCGTTGAGCTGGTCCCTGGGAGGATGGGGAGGAGGAGGCCGGCATGAGGCTGGGAGGAGGTGGCTGAGGTTTCAGCAGGTGCGCGCTGGTACAGCTGGTTGTTAACACACTGACCAACTCCCGTGTGGCTTGATAAACTGCCGCTGCCCTGAGCCCAGGGCGGTCAGCCCCAGCCCTTTTCCCAGGACCTCCCTTGGCATCTCCCCGTGAACAACCAAAGGCGTCTCAGGACCCCTCCGGCTCCCAGCAGCTAGGCAGGGCCCGCCCGCAGCCCGCTCACAGGTACTCGCGCTGCTCGCGGTGCAGGTGGTCCCGGCTCTCCAGGCTGCGCTCCAGGAGCTCCCGGTTTTCCCGGCTCAGGGCCTGCACCTCGGCCAGCAGCTGCCGGTTCTCCTCTTCCTGGGCGCTCCGCAGCTCCGTCAGCAGCTGTCAGGGCCGGGGGCAGGGCAGGTGGGGGTGTAACGGGTTCGCCCCCTCCACTCTCTCCCCGCTCCCCACCCGTCCCTCAGCACACCTCGCACTGCGTGGTCAGCCGGCAGGCGCTCAGGTCCAGCTGCTGGTTGGACTCGCGCAGTCGCTGGCTCTGCACCTCCAGCTGTGCCCGCTCCAGCTCCAGCCGGGCCAGCCGGCTCCGGAGCTCCCCGCGCTCACCCTGCAGCTCCCCTCGCTCCCGTGACACCTCCGCCAGCAGCGTCTGAGCTCTGCGGAGAAAAGGAGAGCTGCTGTCCAAGAGGTCTCACCCCCTAGACCCTTCATGAGGGCCGAGGAGCCGTGCTGGGGCAAGAAGGCACAGCAGGACCCCACAAGGACAGTGACGAACTCACCACCAGCCCACTTCACAGAGGGGAACACTGAGAACCGGCATGAGAGGGGAGGGGCGGAGCCAAGGCCAGTACCTGTCGTGCTCACTCTGCAGCCTTCTCAGCTCCTCCTCCAGGCCCCGCTGCCGATGCCCATCCTGCACCAGGCGCTCACGCTCTGCCAGCAGGGCCAGCTCCTGGGCCTCCACGTTGGCCCTCTGGGCCTGCAGCTGCTCATGCCTGGGACGGACAGGGGCTGAGAGAGCGGCAGGGACCTGGGGCTGGGGCAAGCAAGCAGCCGGACTGTCTGGACCTGGGGGTCTGCCTTCTCCTAAGCATAGGTCCCCGGGCAAAGCCATGAGGCAAGATGCCTGCCAGGCGCCCAGCACTCCCGATGACAGAGGAACCCCAAGGTGAGCCACCCCAGAAGAGCGTGGGCCCCGCCATGCCAGAGTGGGCACAGCAGTGAAGGTGGGTCTGCTGGGTGGTGGTGCTTCCCGGGTGGGGCCACACCCACCAAAGGAGTCTGCCCCGGGCAGGAGGTACCAGGAGAGGCTCACCGGCCCTGCAGCTCCCGGTGGGCCAGCTCCAATGCCCGCATGTTGGCCTTGAGGTCGCGGTGCCGGGCCAGCAGCCCTTCCAGCTCAGCCTCCTGCCGCCGCTGCAGCTGAGTCAGGGCCTCGTGGTCCCGCAGCAGGGCCTGCTGCTGCCCTCGGGCCTCCTCCTGGGACTGGCGGGCCGCCCGCACCTCCTCCTCCAGCACCCCCAGCTTCCTGTGCAGCTCCTGGCCCTGTACCTCCAGGACAGACTTCTCGGCCTGGGCAGAGGAGCGAGCAGGGCCGCTGGGGTGGAATCACTGGCCAGACAGGCAGTAAGGGACAGGGAGCAAAAGGCTGAGGCTGGGCAGAGGACAAGGAGAGAGCTGCAGAGGAGGCAGGGGCTGGGGTAGGGGCAGCAGGGAGCCGAGGCAGAAGCTAATCAGCAAGGAGAGGGGAGGGGGTCTGGGAGGCAGGTGCTGGCGCCAGGGCGTGGAGGGCAGCGAAAGAGGCACAAGGCAGGGATGGGATGGAAGGGGCTGCGACAGGGCAGAGAAAGCGAAGGGACTAATGGCTGGGTGTGCAGGAGAGGACTGGAGACGGGATGAAATGGGCACAGCCGTGGGGACCAGACGACGGAGAAGGGGGTAGGAACAGGGGAAGGAGGCAGGGTCGGGGGAGGGGCAAGCGGAAGAGGGCAGGGATGGGGAGGAGGGGTGCAGAACAGGGTGGCTGGGGT